TTTTGACACAGAGTCTCGCTTAGCTGCCCAGGCTGGAGTCCAGTGGAATGATCTCGGCTCTCTGCAACCTCTGCTCCCGGTTCAAGTGATTCTCATGCCTCAGCCTCCCAGGTGGCTGGGATTACAGGCATGCACACCACGCCTGGCTGCATTTTGTATTTTCAGTAGAGACAAAGTTACACCATGTTGTACAGGCTGGTTTCGAACTTCTGGCCTGAAGAGATCCACCCACCTTGGCCTCCCAAAGTGCTGGATCCCTAAGTGCTGGGTGGGATTATAGATGTGAGCCACCATGCCTGGCCCTCATTGGCATCTTTCAAAGATCAAACATTTTTAATTTTGATGAATCAATTTGTCAGTTTTTTTTTATATTTCATGATTTTCTGTGTCGTAAGAAACCTTTGCCAACTCCAACATTTACAAATATTTTCTTGTTTTTTTTTTCTTAGAATTTACATAGTTTTAGGTTTTGCATTTAGGCTTATGATCTATTTTAGGTCAATTTTTGCATATGGTATAAGGTAAAAGATGATGTTCATTTTTTTCCATATAAATATCTAGTTAATCAAGCACCATACATTGAAAAGGCTTTCCCTTCCCTATTGAATTGTTTTTGCACCTTTGTTGAGTCAATAGACCATATATTTATGGGTTTACTTCTAGATGTTGTTTTCTGTTTCATTGATACTTTTATCTTCCTTTATGTGGATATAAAACTTTTTTTTTTTAAATAGAGATGGGACTGGGCATGGTGACTCATGCCTGTAATCCTAGCACTTTGGGAGGTCAGGTGGGAGGATTGCTTAAGGCCACAAGTTCAAGACCAATCTGGCCAATATAGTGAGACCTCGTCTCTACTTAAATTATTTTTAAAAAAGAAAAAAAAAAAAATAGAGACAGGGTCTTGCTGTCTTCCCCAGGTTGGTCTCAAACTCCTGGGCTCAAGCAATGCTCCCATCTCAGCCTCCCAGAGAACTGGGATTACAGTCATGAGCCACTGCATCTGGCCGTGTGAATACAAAACTGTCTTGATTACTGTAAACCTTTTAAGTCAGGTAGCGCTAGTTCTTGTTATTCCTCCAGTTTTGCTCTTTTTGTTTAAATGTTTTGGCTATTACAGGTCTTTTGCATTTCTGTATACATTATCAAATTACTTTATCACCTTTTACAGAAAAGCTTACTGGACCTTTGATTGGGATTGCTTTGAATCTTTAGATCTATTTGGAGAGAATTACTATCTTAAAATGGAGTTTTCTGATCCATGGACCTGGTATCTCTTTCCACCTAGCTAAGTCTTCTTTAGTTTCTCTCTGCCATCTTTTACAGTGTTTAGTGTAGAGTGCTTGAACATATTTATTAGATGTAACCCTGTGTATTTTACATTTTTTAGTGCTTCTGTAAATGGAATTGTTTTTAAAATTTTATTATTTTTTTAAATAATTTTTTTTGTTTTTTAAAGACGGGGTTTCACTATGTTGGTCAGGCTGGCCTTGAACTCCTGACCTCAGGTAATCCACCCATCTTGGCCTCCAAAGTGCTGATTACAGATGTGAGCCACCAAGCCTGGTGAAATTTTATTTTTGAGTTCTTTGGTATTAATATATAAAACGTATTTTTGCTTTGTATATTACTCGTAGTTCCAGCAGTTGGTATGTGGATTCCCTGGGATTTTCTGCTGACACAGTTATCATCTGCAAATAGGAATGGTTTTATTTCTTCCTTTCTGATCTTTATGCCTTTTCTTTTTCTGTCTTACCAAAATGTCTAGAACAGCCAGAATATTAAATACAGTCATGATTACCTTGTTTACAATTTCAGGGGAAACCTTTTATCTTTAGGTATGATGTTTTTGTTGTGCTTTTTTGTAGATGAGTTGTCTTTTATCATTTTGAGAAAGTTCCCTTCTATTCCTAGTTTCTTTTATTATGAATGGGTGTTGATAATTTTTTTGCATCTCTTGGAACAATCATGTATTGTTCTTTTTTATTCTGTTAATACATCACATATTCACCTGTTAAAGTGGCAAATTACATGTGCTAATATTTGGATGTTAAGCCAACCTTGCATTCTTGGAATAAACTTTACTTGATTAGCTGCATTTTCCTTTTTATATTGGAGTCTATTGCTAATATTTCATATTATTCTATCCTAATATTATATGTTGCATTTCATTGTTAGTGTTTTGTTAAGGATTTTGTGTCAACATTCAAGAGGGACATTGGTCTATGATTTTTCTTTTTTTGTAACATTTCAGTACCAGGGCTATACTGGCCTCATAGAATTAATTGGACCATGATCTCTCTTTCTTTTCTGTTTGACAAAGTTTTATTAGATCAATTTTATTTCTTCGTCGTATTTAGATAGAATTTGCTATTAAAATCTTCTGGTTCTCTTTTGGGAAGACATATGGTAATTTCAGTTCTTTTATTAGAAAAAACTATTCAGGTGCTTTATTTCTTCATGTATGGGGTTGTTTTTTTTTTTTTTTTTTTTTTAAGACAGTTTCTCACTCTGTTGCCCAGGCTGGAGTGCAGTGGCATGATCTCAGCTCACTGCAACCTCTGCCTCCTGGGTTCAAGCAGTTCTCATGCTTCAGCCTCCTGAGTAGCTGGGATTACAGGTATGCACCACCATGCCTGGCTAATTATTTTTATTTTGAGTACAGATGGGATTTCACTGTGTTGGCCAGGCTGGTCTGGAACTCCTGGCCTCAAGTGATCTGCCCGCCTTGGCCTCCCAAAGTGCGCTGGGATTACAGATGTGAACCACTGCACCCAGCCATTTCTTTTTTTTTTTTTTTTTTTGAGATGAAATCTTGCTGTGTTGCCCAGGCTGGAGTGTAGTGGTGCAATCTTGGCTTACTGTAACCTCCGCCTCCTGAGTTCAAACAATTTTCCTGCCTCAGCCTCCTGAGTAGCTGGGATTACAGGCACCCGCCACCATGCCCAGCTAATTTTGTATTTTGTATTTTGTATTTTTATTAGAGATGGGCGTTAACCATGTTGGCCCTGGAACTCCTGACCTCAGGCGATCCACCCACCTTGGCCTCCCAAAGTGCTGGTATTATAAGCATGAGCCTGGCTTTCCTGGCTTCTTCGTATATGGATTTTAAATTGTGTTTTCAATAAATTTGTTCATTTCATCTAAGTTGTTAAATCTGTTAGCACCATATTTTCTTATCTTTTTAATATCTGTAGATTCTAAAGTGGTAACACCTTTTTCGTTACAGATGTGAGGGATTGGTGTTTATCACTTATTTTTCATGATGAAGCTACCTGGGTGAGGGGTTGTCAGTGTTGTAGATCATTTCAAAGAACCAGCTTTTGGCTTTGTTAATTTTTATTGTGTATTTGTTTTCTGTTACATAAATTTCTGCTCTTTATTAGTTCCCTCCTTTACTTATTTTGGGTTAACTTGCTTTTTGTTTTGTTTGTTTTAAAGCTTTTTAAGGTGGGAAAATTTGTTTTTAAAGCTTTTGTTTTTAAGGGACTTGGTTTGATTTATTTAATAAACATTTACTAAGATCCTATGATTCTATATAGCAGTCACTATCAGGTATTAAAGCAATGAAGACAAGTAGGGCAAGTTACTTACAGGATAGTGGACATTGATTCATGTCTACAGTGTGTTGTCTTTTTTCATCGCCATTTTTTTCTATTGGAGATGGAATCTCACTGTGGTGCCTAAGCTGGAGCACAGTGGCTGTTCACAGTCATCATCCTAGTGCACTACTACCTGCAACTCCTGGGCTAAAGTGATTCCCCTGCCTCAGCCTCCCAAGTAGCTGGGACTGCAGCTGCACACCATCACACCTGGCTACAGTGTGTTATCAAGAGTGCATACCCAGTAATCTTGAGGGTTTTGTTGTTGCTGTTGTTGTTTTGTTGTTTGAGACGAAGTCTTGCTCTGCCACCCAGGCTGGAGTGCAGTGGCATGATCTCGGCTCACTGAAGCCTACACCTCCTGGGTTAAAGTGATTCTCCTGCCTCAGCCTCCTGAGTAGCTGGGTTTACAGGCACATGCCACCACACCTGGCTAATTTTTGTATTTTTATTAGAGACAGGGTTTTACCATTTGGCCAGGCTGGTCTTGAACTCCTGACCTCAAGCAATCTGCCTGTGTCGGCCTTCCAAAATGCTGGGATTATAGGTGTGAGCCACTGCACCTGGCCAATCATGAGATATTTATTTATTTTTATTATTATTATTTTTTGAGACGGAGTTTCGCTGTTGTCACCCAGACTGGAGTGCAATGGCACAATTTCAGCTCACCGCAACCTCCACCTCCTGGGTTCAAGCAATTCTCCTGCCTCAGACTCCCGAGTAGCTGGGACTACAGGCGCACACCACCATGCCCAGCTAATTTTTTGTATTTTTAGTAGAGATAGGGTTTCACCTTGTTGACCAGGATGGTCTCGATCTCTTGACCTTGTGATCCACCCGCCTCAGCCTTCCAAAGTGCTGGGACTATAGGCATATGCCACCGTGCCCGGCCTGAGATATTTTTTAAAAACAAGTGCCACATCATTTAAAATTAGTCTCTTTGGATAGGAGCTGCTTATAATAATTACTTCTTAATGTTTTCTTACACATTCTCAATTTCTTTTCTTTTTTTTTTTTTTTTGAGACAGAGTTTCGCTGTTGTTACCCAGGCTGGAGTGCAATGGCACGATCTCAGCTCACCGCAACCTCTGCCTCCTGGGATCAGGCAATTCTCCTGCCTCAGCCTCCCAAGTAGCTGGGATTACAGGCACGTGCCACCGTGCCCAGCTAATTTTTTGTATTTTTAGTAGAGATGGGGTTTCACCATGTTGACCAGGATGGTCTCGATCTCTTGACCTCGTGATCCACCCGCCTCGGCCTCCCAAAGTGCTGGGATTACAGGCTTGAGCCACAGCGCCCAGCCCACATTCTTAATTTCTTAATTATCTGTTGTACATAATTAAAAGGAAAGCCTTTCATGGTAGTGACATGTTCCAAGTGTTTTGTTCTGTCTTTCAGATAATTTATTGTTTGTAATCAACTCCATCAAGCAAGAGATTGTAAATCGGGTACAGAATCCAAGAGAGGAGAGAGGACCCAACATGGGGCAGAAGCTTGAAATCCTCATTAAAGATACTCTTGGTAAGAATAATATTAGATAAATTTATAACAATGATAACATGTAGTATAAGATGTATGATTTAAGGGGATATTAAAAGTTCTTTTAGTTTAAGGAAAAACTCAAGTGCTCTCATTGTACTTACTCTCCTTTATGAGTAATTTTATCTTTTGGGATTTAGTGTTCATAAACATGTATTGCAGGTGACCACGATTTGTAATTTAGATTTAATCATGAAACTATTTTAACACTTAAGAAAAACAAACTTCTAGCAACTTTACCCTTTCATAGAAGACAAACAGTCCCAGAGCTGGCAAGCCTGCAGTTTGCACTTTAGTGTAGAGATCCTTACTTGTTTTACTCAGTAGTGCATTTCACAGGATTCCGACAAAGTTGGGTCTTTCGTTTCCCATCCCTGAACAGATTGCACAACGTGGGGAGGATCACAGAGGCAGGCATCTGGACGTCAGGCCAAGTGAGAGCTGATAGGAAAGAGAGAGCTAGCTAGTATAGAGATAGACATGAGAACTCAACTCATAGGAGCAAGTCACCTGACAGACAGTAGCATCCAAGGCACCCAGCATTATACAACCCATGAAAACCGCCCAAATTAAATTTATACAATGAAAGGTCAAATGTCTATCTTGAACAAAACTCCATTTATATTGAGAACAATCAGGTGAAGAGTAGACCCTAAATGTCAGTATTTTCCTCAGCAATCACTTACCTCCCACCTCCATATGGATTAATTCAGGGCTTGACTTTTTCTTCAAATAGGTTGATGCTATTTTAATGTTTTATATATTCTTTCATAGCATTTCTTTCTTTTCTTTCCTTTTAGTTTTAAAAGCATTTTTATTCCTCCTTTTTATTCTTTCCCCTACAGGGGGAAATTTAACATTACAAGAAAAAATTATTTTTACCTTTTTATTTTATTTATTTATTTATTTTTATTTATTTTTATTTTTTGAGACAGAGTTTTGCTCGTTACCCAGGCTGGAGTGCCATGGTGTGATCTTGGCTTACTGCAACCTCTGCCTCCTGGGTTCAAGTAATTCTCCTGCCTCAGCCTCTTGAATAGCTGGGACTACAGGTGCGCGCCACCATGCCTAGCTAATTTTTATATTTTTAGTAGAGACAGGGTTTCACCATGTTGACGAGGATGGTCTCGATCTCTTGACCTCGTGATCCACCCGCCTCGGCCTCCCAAAGTTTTGGGATTATAGGCGTGAGCCATTGCACCTGGCCTACCTTTTTATTTTTTAATGTAAACGTCTTAGGTGTTTGATAAGCTTGTGTACTCCCTTTACACTTGAAAATCAGTTTTACCAGGTATGAAATCCTTGACTCATTTTCTTTCCTTAAGTATCTTGAATATGATTCTCCATTTTCTTTTGGCATAAAGTGTTGCTGTTGAAAAGCTAATATTGGCTAGGCATGGTGGCTCACGCCTATAATCCCAACCCTTTGGGAGGCTGAGGCCTTTGGGTGGATCACTTGAGGTCAGGATGTCGAGACCAGCTTAGCCAACATGGTAAAACCCCATCTCTACTAAAAATACAAAAATTAGCTGGGTGTGGTGGTGGGTGCCTGTAATCCCAGGTACTCAGGAGGGTGAGGGAGAGAATCACTTGAATGCAGGAGAGGTGGAGGTTGTAGTGAGCTGAGATTGTACCATGCACCACAGCCTGAGAGACAGAAACTCTGTCTTAAAAAAAACAAAAAAACCTAATATTCTCTAATTATTTTTTCTTTATAAGTACTTTGCTGTTTTTGTTTAGGTACCAAAAGGATTTTTTTTCTTTAAATACCAGTGATTTTACTAGATTGTATCTTAAGAGTTGCTCATTTTTGGTTGATATTTTCATGTTTATATTGTATTCTTTCAGTATGTAGTTTCAGATGTTTTTAGTGTTTGATCTGTTCCCTTGCTTTTCTTTTCTTCTGTAGGGACTCTTATTATCTATAGATTGGCTCTTCTTTGCCCATCTTTATTATTTGTCAGTTTTCTCCCCTCCTCTCCCCTCCTTTCCCTTCCCCTTTGTTTCTGTCTTTCTTTCTGAGACAGTGTCTTGCTCTGTCACCCAGGCAGTAGTGGTGGCACAATCTTAGCTCACTGCAGCCTCCATCTCCTGGTTCAAGCAATTCTCCTGCCTCAACCTCCTGAGTAGCTGGGATTACAGGTACCTGCCATCATGCCCAGCTAATTTTTGTATTTTTAGTAAAGACAGCGCTTCACCATGTTGGCCAGGCTGGTCTCAAACCCCTGCCTCGTGTGACTTTTTCTTGAATCATTTTTGTCTCTTCATTTCTTTTTTATTTTAACATTATTTCTCCATTTTACCTTATGTTTCTCTTAAAGCATTATTTTCTGTGATTACTTGGCTGATCTTAGGTTCCTTTTAATTTCAGGAATTAATTTTCCTCTTTATTTCTAATTCTTTTCTGAATTCTGTCACCTTATTTCTTAATTATTCTGTTTCTGTTATGTTCTTTCACATCTCGTGACATTTTCTTTAATGCCTTTCTTTAATGTCTTTTATTCTCTCTTTTAATTTTTTTAGAAAAGTTTTTTTATGGGATTCTGACCTTGATACTTTCCTGTTGCTCATATATATGTGAAATTAGTTTCTCAGAACTTTTAAAAGAATGTTTGACTCAGAATAGCTTTTCTTTTTTTCACAGTTTCTCCTTTTCAGTTAACATTTAAAAACATGGCACACCAGGTTTGGTGGCTTGCACCTATAATCTCAGTCACTTGGGAGGCTGAGGCAGGAGGATTGTTTGAGGTCAAGAGTTCTAGACCAACCTGGGCAACAGGGAAACACAAGTCTGAAGAAAAAACAAAAAAAATGCACCCGGCTTTCTGAGATTTCTTATTCTGTTCCCCTCTCTCATTTTATTTGGACCATCTCTGTTTCGTATCTTTAGTTCCTTTCTTGCTTGATTTTAATTTCAACCTGAGGGTTTTTTGTTTTGTTTTGAGACAGAATCTCAAAACACTCTGTCACCCAGGTTGGAGTGCAGTGGCGCGATCTTGGTTCATTGCAGCCTTCTGCCTCCCAGGTTCAGGTGATTCTCCTGCCTCAGCCTCCCGAGTAGCTGGGATTACAGGCACATGCCTGGATAATTTTTGTGTTTTTAGTGGAGATGGGGTTTCACCATGTTGGTCAGGTTAGCATCAAACTCCTGACATCAAGTGATCTGCCCACCTTGGCCTCCCAAAATGCTGGGATTACAGGCTTGAGCCAGTGCCCTTGGCCAGTTTTTTATTTTATCACGGCTGACTCTTGTCCTGCAAGAGAGTCCTGGCTGGTCCATTTTCAGAGTTTACAGAGGCTCAACTGTGGACTCCTTCACATCCAACTGTGGGTTCCTTGCACTCACCTTGTATTCAGTATTGATTTGGAGAAAATCCCTCACAGCTTTAGCTGCGGTTCTCAAGTTGGCCCCACTGTACTTTCCAGTGAGTAATCTATTGACTACTTATAAATTTTTTTTGTTCTCATTTCCATTACTTTCTTTTGGCCCATCCACATAAATATTGATAATGCTGATGCCATGCATGTCTTAGGCTTTTGGTAGTTTGGTGGGGCATGATGGCTTACGCCTGTAATCCCAGCACTTTGGGAGGCCAAGGTGGGTGGATCATGAAGTCAGGAGTTTGAGACCAGCTTGGCCAAGATAGAGAAACCCTGTCTTAATAATACAAAAATTAGCTGGGTGTGTTGGCAGACACCTGTAATCCCAGCTGCTTAGGAGACTGAGGCAGGAGAATTGCTTGAATCTGGAAACAGAGGTTGCAGGAGACAAGATCACCCCACTGCACTCTAGCCTGGGCAATAGAGCAAGACTCTGTCTCAAAAGAAAAAAAAAAAAAACAACTTTTGGTAGTTTGTTCCCACCTTCCTGAATGTTGGGGTTCCTAGGGATACATTATCACTTGTAAATGTTTTCCATGGGTTTATGGTTTTGCCATTTAGTTGCTCTGTTTTTATATGGAGAAATGAAGATTAAAAATCTATGTGGTGGTGTGGTGGCTCATGCCTGTAAACCCAGCACTTTTGGGAGGCTGAGGCAAGCAGATCATGAGGTCAAGAGATCGAGACCTTCCTGGCCAACATGGTGAAACCCTGTCTCTACTAAAAATACAAAACTTAGCTGGGCATGGTGGTGTGTGCCTATAGTCCCAGCTACTCAGGAGGCTGAGACAGGAGAATCCCTTGAACCCAGGAGGCAGAGGTTGCAGTGAGCTGAAATCATGCCACTGCACTCCAGCCTGGCAACAGAGTGAGACTCCATCTACAAAAAAAAAAACTCTGCGTGGTGACTGAGTATAGTAGCTCATGTCTGTAGTCCCAGCACTTTGGGAGGCTGAGGTGGGAGGATTGATTGAGGCCAGGAGTTCAAAACCAACCTGAGCCTGAAAGGTTGAGGCTGCAGTGAATGGTGATGGTACCACTGCACTCCAGACTGGGCAACAGAGTGAGACCCTGTCTCAAAAACAGTAACAACAACTATGTAGCTGTTTTCCCAGAATTTGCCTCTGGACCAGTTTAAATGGGTTGGAGTTTCTCTTTCCTTTTTTTTTTTTTGAGACACTCTCTCTCTCTGTCATACTGAAGTACAGTGGCACTATTTCAACTCACTGCAACCTCCACCTCCAGGGTTCAAGTGATTCTCATGCCTCAGCTTTCTGAGTAGTATGCACCACCACCACGTATGGCTAATTTTTGTATTTTTAGTGGAGGTGAGATTTCACCATGTTGGCTAGGCTGGTCTCAAAGTCCTGATCTCAGGTGAAATGACTTCCTCAGCCTCTCAAAGTGCTACAGTCATGAGCCACTGAGCCCAGCTGAGTTTATTTCTCTTAAAGGTAATTTCTCCGTCAGTTTACAAATTCTTCTGGAGTCATTTTTGATAATTTACATATTCGTGGAAAGTTATCTACTTCCTTCTGGCCCTCAAATTTATTAAAATTGAGCAAAGCATTTTTGTTTTTTGATTTCTTCTGCATCTGTAATTAGAGTTCCCTTTTCATTTCTTATTTTGTGTCTGTTCTCCCTTATTTCTTGATTCATTATAGGTTATTCTACTTTCTCCCCCAAAACCAGCTCTTAATTTACCAGTTCTTTTAATTTCTTTGAGTTATTAGATATAGATACTTAATGTATTTCTTTTTATTCTTTCTTGATCATTCATGTAAATAACAGCCTTTGAAATTTCTTCTGAGAGCGACTTTAGCTGATATAAATTTGGACATAAGTTCTGATGTGTCATATTTTCATTGTTTTCTGAATACTTTGAAATTTTAGGTTTGATTTACTCTTTGACCCCAAAATCATTTGAGAGAGATTTAAAATTTCCCCCAGCAGGTAGGGATTATTATTTTCTGGTTTTATTACTGACCTCTAGTTTTTTGTGGATTTATTGAGATTTTCTTAGCAGCCTAATATAAGATTACAATTTTAAATTTTCTGTGGGGGTTTTAAAAGAAGATGTAATTTCTGTTTTATAGTAAGATTCCCACATATTGACTAGATATTTTTAATTAAGTCTTTTCCTTTTATGGGGAGTGTGTGTGGCTGTTCATTTACTCTGTGTAGAACTGAGAAAGGTTTCCACTAATGTATTTCAGTTTCATCTTAGATTTTCGGTGTTTTTGCTTCTGAATGTTAGGATGTTTGAATGGGATTTATTAGTATTAGATCTGCATTATGAATTATAGTTTTTATCATCTTGAAGTACACAAGATTATAATCACAAATGCAGCTTTCTTATTGTATTTGTTTGGTATTATTTATACTTGGTATTCCTTTGTCTACTCTTTTATTTTCAATCCTTCTGAATCATTTTATATTAGTTATATCTTTTTAAAACATTTTAGCCAGGTGCAGTGGCCCATGCCTATAATCTCAACACTTTGGGAGACCAAGGCAAGAGGATCTCTTGAGCCCAGGAGTTTGAAGCCTGGTTAGGTAACATAAGGACACCCCATTTCTAGGAAAAAAAACACAAAAAATTAGCCCAGCATGGTGATGCAAGCCTTTAATCCCAGATACTTGGGAAGGGGAGTCGAGAGGATCGCTTTTTCTTGGGAGATGGAGGCTGCAGTGAACCAAGATCATGCCATTGTACTTGAGCCTGAGTGACAGACCTCACCTCAAAAAAAAAAAAAAAAAAGAAAAGAAAATAAAAAGAAGAAAAAAAATTTTAGTTAAATGAAAATTTAACTTAATTTTATTAAGATATCAGAAGATCTTTTCTTAGATTTGTATATGTAGCACATATTTGGATTTTCTTTTTCTTTGTTATTTATTCTGGAGGTTGTACTTTAATAGGTGAGCTCATTTTTAAAAATTGATATGATCTATGTTTGGTTTAAGTGCTGTTATCAAAAGATCTGCTAGAATTTATGTGACCTTTTTATGCCTTTTAAAATAGTTTACCGTATGATCTATTATGGTTTCACTTTTGTCGATAATCCTCTGATAATTTGCAAAGCTTTGTGTTTTTATCTGGTGGATTGGCTTTTAACTGTAACATAAAATGTATCCTTATTGTATCTGTCTTTTCATTTAAGATTTTAATCCTATAGAAAAGTAGAAAGAATTTTACAGTGAACATCTGCATTTCTTTCAACTAGATTTATCAGTTGTTTTCATTGTTTTTTAAAATTAATTGTTTTTTTGTTTTGTTTTGTTTTGTTTTGTTTTTTTTTAAGAAACAGAGTGTTGCTCTGTCATCCAGGCTGGAATACAGTGGTGCTATCCTAGCTCACTGCAACCTCAAACTCCTGGAGTCAAGCCATCTTTTGGCACCAACTGTAGGAGTACAGGTGTGTGCCACCATGCCCAGCTTATTTATTTATTTATTTATTTATTTATTTATTTATTTATTATTTTTCACTCTGTCTTCAAGGCTGGAGTGCAGTGGCTTGATCTCGGCTCACTGCAACCTCCGCCTCCCAGATTCAAGTGATTTTCCTGCGTCAGCCTCCCAGGTAGCTGGGATTACAGGCATGCAACACCACTCTTGGCTTATGTTTTTGCATTTTTAGTAGAGATGAGGTTTCACCATGTTGGGCAGGTGGTCTTGAACTGCTGACCTCGAGTGATCCGCCCACCTTGGCCTCCGAAAGTTCTGGGATTACAGGCATCAGCCACCACATCCAGCTAGCAGTGAATTTATTTTTATGTTTGTAGAGATGGGTTATTGCTATGTTGCCCAGGCTAGGCTCAAGTGATCCTTCTGCCTCAGCTTCCCAAAGCACTGGGATTATAGGCATGAGCCACCCTGCCCGGCCCTCACCAATTGTTAATATTTTACTACATTTGCTTTATTTCTACCTCTATCTACATGTGTATTTGGACAGGGAATATTTGAAAATAATTGTAAAAATCGTGATTCTTTGTCTCTAATTATTTTAGCCTGTATTGCTTGAAAACAAGGACATTTTCTTAGCCACAATGCCAGTGTCACATCCCAGTGCTTCAACCTTGATATACTATTCAATTTGGATTCCATACTTAAATTTTCCCAGTTGTCTCAATAATGTAGTCTACATCTGTCTCCCCATCTTATTTTATTTTTATGAAAAATTGAGGTCTTGTAAAATGTTTCAACATTTGGATTTATCTGTTTCCTCATGACTAAATGCAGTTAGATGTTCTGGTAGGAATGCATCATACATCCTTCTTATTCCATCAGTCAAGAGGCATATAATATCAGATTGTTTCATTATTGGTCATGCCAAGTTTGATCACATGGTTTAAGGTTGTGTCTGTATATATACTTTTTTTTTTTTTTCTGAGACGGAGTTTTGCTCTTGTCACGCACGCTGGAGTTTGGTGGCATAATCTCAGCTCACTGCAACTTCTGCCTTTCAGGTTCAAGTGATTCTCCTGTCTCAGCCTCCCAAGCAGCTGGGATTACAGGTGCCTGCCACCATGCCTGGCTTATTTTTGTATTTTTAGTAGAGACAGGGTCTCAGCATGTTGGCCAGGCTGGTCTCAAACTTCTGACCTCAAGTGATCTGTCTACCTTGGCCTCCCAAAGTGCTGGATGACAGGTGTGAGCCACCACACCCGACCAATATTTTTTATGGTATCCTTTGACTTACTCCTATGAGCAATGACAAACATATTCCTTTTTTTTTTTTTCCTGATATGGAGTTTCACTCTTGTTGCCCAGGCTGGTGCAGTGGCACAACCTTGGCTCACTGCAACCTCTGCCTCCTGGGTTCAAGTGATTCTCCTGCTTCAGCCTCCTGAGTAGCTGGGATTGCAGGTGCCCATCACCATGCCCAGCTAATTTTTTGCATTTTTAGTAAAGATGGGATTTCACCATGTTGGCCAGGTTGGTCTCGGACTTCTGACCTCAGGTGATCCACCTGCCTCAGTCTCCCAAAGTGCTAGTATTAAAGGCGTGAGCCACCACACCTGGCTGACAAATATATTTCTTCTTCCATCCTTCTTATTTTTCTAATACTTTAAAAACTGTACTTGTACCTCTGTTACTTGATTTACTGATTTTGTCTTTTGACCTTACTATGGAAGATGAGGAAGATGAGAAAATCTACATACTTAATGCTGCTCCCACATTTCTCCCTCTTCTCTTCCAACATTTCGTATTTATTCATTCATTTTTTTTAAATGAAGAAAAGGAAACAAACTGTATCTAGTAGTTATAAAAATGACCAAAAACATCCTTCATGTCTTTATTTTCAGTTCCATGGATGAAACCCACCCTTGGAATTTGGTGAGGTTAGAGTAATTGGAAGAGACTGGTGAGAGAACAGGGAAAATCCTGTTCGGTGGACATGGGAAGTGGTGCCTGTTGGCAGGCTTTGGGTTTGGATTTGGATTGTTACACTTGTCATCTATCCCACTTTAATTGTTGATTTATGATTTTTCATGATTATTCTTGGTTTGGCTCTTCTAATCTTAAAATTTTAGACAGTAATGTGAAGGCTAGCATTATTTTCTGAGCTGCAATAGCAAATGGCAGGGAATTCATTTGGAACCAGTATCAAGCCGAGGGCCACACCTGATCCTCAGATGTTACCAGCCCCTCCCCTTCCCTTCATGCCTTTCTATTTCTATGTCTAGATGTGTCTTTTGTTCTTCTCTTCAGGTCTACCAGTTGCTGGGCAAACGTCAGAATTTGTTAACCAAGTATTAGAGAAGACTGCAGAAGGGAATCCCACTGGAGGCCTTGTGGGATTAAGGATACCAACATCAAAGGTGTAATCAGTCTCATTGGACCACTGGTCAGAAATGTCTGCGTTTTGTCACGTTATCCATTGTAAATTTTCATTCTGTTTTGCATGTCAGTTAGCATTATGTAAACATTTACAATTAGGTTACATTTTTTTAAGAACTAAGTAGCATAAGTGAAGCATGATCCAAAATACTTGATTATTGCATTTTCAGAGCATAAACCATGATTAAAACTGCTACTGGCATCAGAATTGAAAATCATATGTTTAAGTAAATGTTTAGGTACAGATTTCAAAAATCTGTCAAAGAAAAACATTTTGGAGGTGTGAAATAGTGAAATGCCAAGTATTGTGGCAGATTTATGCTCTGAACCACACAAAAAAATTGAGGAAGCATTTTTTTAAACAGTCAGTTAAAATTGTTTTTGGAATTATTGCTTTTTGTTCTAATTTTCCACAACCATTAATCTCACTTGTACATGGCACACCCAGCACTTGTGCCTGTGGGCCATATTAGATATTCATTGTCAGAGCTCAAGATGATATATATACACACGCACACACACACACACACACACACACACACAAATGTCTGTGCAAGTAAGAAAAAAAAGCATATTCTTTGTGCCTTGTATTTTGGGGAAACTATAAAACTGGTAATATTTTGTATGATGAAAACCCTAATGAGAAAAAACAAGATATATAGATGGAAAAATTATGGGGTTTAAATGTTTTTTTGTTCCAACTCTTTTTCAGATTTTTTGAATGTATATAGGACTATGTTGAAATGTAGATATATGCCACAGAGTCTGTGTATTGTATAAAAAACAAAACAAAAAAAATAACAAAAAAAAGATGGCTCTAGAAAACTCATATTTCGGTACTTGACCGGAAGAAGACAAATACTTGCACATTATTGCGATTGTTTTATTTTTTGTACCAAAGACAAATGTAACTGATATGGCAAACTGCCAGTCTAAGTAAAGTTTTGCACAGCTTACATGATACTGTATGAATGTATGAAAAAAAAAAAGGAGAAAAAAAAAGAAAAAAAAGGTCAGGGTTAGGGATCTTACTGAACTGTGAATTTTATTTCTGTTTGGGTCCAATTATCTACAGAAGGAGCATCCATACATACAAATATTATTTTGCTGTTCCTCTAGTTCGCTTCCATAGTAGATAAGTGGGTGGCCATTTAGATGTCTTTTATTTCTGCACTTGTTGTAGGAAATTTTAATATATTTCATTTTAGTAAGCTATTGGTAAAATAGTTTTTGACTTTGAAAATTAAAATGTTTATTTAGCTTATTGTAGTATACTTCCACCAAACAACAAAATAGATTATTTTTATTGTATTATATATATATATGTAAAAAAGAAAAAAGCTAAAAACACCTAATTCTTTAGTTGCCACTTTTCCGAAAATTGATGTATTATTGTGCATGTAATATTTTCAAAGATCAACACAGGCTTAAAACAAAAACAAAAATTTATAGATTTTTATATTTTTGTACAGGTATTTTCAAACTAGCTTCTTCAAACTTAACATGTGACTTATTCTTCTATAGTTTCTAGAATTGAGAAACATTAACACATTTAGTTTTTAGGTGCTCTTTTTTGCTCATATAAAACAGCTTCGTTAGTCAGTGTTTTAACTGTGTTCAAGCTTTACCTCTTGAGAAATTTATTATGTCAAGGCAGCATTATAAACCTTCCCCCACAGATCTTTCCATCCTGTCTCTCTTACTATTTTATTCTCAAATCTTGTGTTTTGAACTCTGAAAACTGGTGGCTTAAAAACTAAAAAAAGAAAAAACATTTAGTAAGGAAAAAAATACCAAAAATTTCAGGCATAGCTGCTGGAAAAATTACCTATTTCTCCATTACCCGCTGTAGGATTTGTTTCTTAATTATACTTTGAGTATAAAGTGTCAAAGTATAATTTGTTCTTTTCTTTTACTTCTGACACCCCATTTGTAAGCTATAGCACATGAAACTATAGCTTGTGAAGGTCTGATCTAGAACACACAGTAAAAGTGAACAATGTTGCTTACCTGCTTCTTTGACATCTTAAAAAAGAAACCCAAGAAGGATTGTAAGGATTTTCTTACTACCTTAGCTGAACTGTGATGCACAAGATTTTTCTTTGTGTTTGGTGGAAATGTACCTGGTTAGTACATTCATGCTAAACAGATGATAAGCTCAAGTCTAATGGTTTAATAGAATGTAAGTTCATTGTTTAAAGTTTTTCCTTTTTAGGTGGGAGAAGGCAGAGCACAGACAGGCTTGCAAGTTGGAAGTATATGAAGTCTTGACAGAGTGTGTCTGGTAAATTGAAAAGTGTTTCAAACTATGGCAGTTTTGCAATCAGGTGAAGATTGCCTCATGATATTCAGCTGATAAGGTTTATAAAATTGCCCCTTTCTAGCTGCTCTGTTAGGAATTCTGGTTTTTGATACCTTTTTCCTGTCTGCAAACCAGAATTTGATTTTTTGGTCTTGCATTTCAAAAAAAAGACTTTGAATCTGTTTAGTAGATTCCATATCCTTGAGTTTCAGTGTTTTATATGTACTACTTAAGTTAAATAGTTAAAAGCTTTTAAATAGTTGAGCTTTTTAATGTTGACACTTTATTTTGTACCTATTTATATATGTATGTATATCTTAGAAAAGCACTTTGTTAAAAAAAGTTGCATTTTATATGATTCCTGCCATTTGCTGCTAAATCTGGGCTGGTCAGAATGCTGCAGCGATACTTGATCTAAATAAAAACCTGGCAGTAAAATGTAGAGTGAAAGTTAAATCCTCTTGCTGTTTTAACTTTATCATAAAGATGACATAGGCAAGCTGTGCAGCTTTACATTTTAACCAGGGGACTCTGTGGCATTTAAAACCGTCTAGAAATGGTTGTACTTTAATGCCAGTAATAATCTGCTTCCTCTATTGTCATTAAAATATATATGTTTAGTGTATCACACAAACAAATCATATAAGGGTAATGTAAAAACCCCAACAGTTGTACATGTTCTGTTTTTGAAAATTGTGGCATGTATTTTTGAGTGAAGATCGTTAGAGAAGAGTTCTCTAAAGGTTTTCTGTGTTCATACATGGTATACAGATAGCTCATAATGAAGTCCAGAATCTTACTTTAAGTGAAGGCATTGTGAATTCACCTCAAGTAAACCCATTATTCCAAAGCAATTATAAACTTTGACTCTAGTACTACTATGATTTAAAAAAAAAAAAAAAAAGGAAACTTTTTTTCCTAGTTTCAGATACACTGGATTCTTTATAGAGTTTGTCTCCATATGAAAGCATGCTGTCCAGTCGCTCTTGTTAAGATTTTGTCTGAGTTTTGAATTGGGTGTCACACTTTTTCAGTCAATATAATTGCTTGTTCTACTGTACCATGTATGATTCTTGTCCTTTCCTATATCCTTCATGACAGATTATGATGTGGCTTTATATTGTGCCTTACTTGTACATTTAAAACTAAACATCTTCATTCCCTTTCACTTCCTACATCTTTAACTTTGACCTTTTGGTAAGAGAATCAGAACTATTACAAAAGCATCATGAAGGATTTCAGATGGGTATGGTTTCAAATTCCCTCTCTTTATAGTTATTTTATATTTGTATGAAAGACCAGTTTTGGATGGTCTTTGAATATGAGGGGGAAAGATTAGCAGTAATTTCACTACATCCCCTTTCTCTGACTTTCGTGAATTTCTCATACATCTTCTTTCTGATGCTTGACTTTATTTGCTTCCTAGCAATAGTCTGCATTTAAAGAAAGGTGTGTTCAGTTCATCAGCTTGAAATTGACTATTTCATTTTTCCAGGATTTTTTAGGAGAAGAGTGCCCATTTTGTTTGTTTTATAAAAACAGATGACAAGTCTCTTTAAAAGAAACCGAAGTACAGTACTTTTGAAATACAATGCTGTTAGTTTGAATTTCTTTTTATATATATATATATATATATATATTCATACAATGATCTGATGTTTGCCTTCATTAATAAAGCTGTTAGTTTATTCACCAAAATGTCAAGAATGGATGTGCTTTTCTTTATTCCATACATTCAAAAAAATTTAGCTGCTAAGATTTAGTTAATGTTCTAAGAAATGAATTCAAGTTGCCTTCAGCAGGAATTAACAAAAACTTATGTTCCCTTTCTTTATATAGTTTCCTAAAATTCTGTTCAAGTGTTTTCTAGTTAATTATGTAACAGAATGTTAGCATCTCTCCATATCTTGAAACTTGAATTTTGAGAATGCATTGAATTATGCTTTCAGTGTTAAAGTAAAAGGTTTCAATTATCCTTCTAGTGAAGTCTGTTGTGGAATACCGTTTCCCATGGAACTGAGGCCACTTCCACAACTTTGCACAGAACTGCAGTCTTGTTCTTCCCTTGGATCATGACAAATAAGTCTCACACAGTGCCGTAATACTTGTGGATTCTTTTGTAATCTTTGTAATCTTAATAAGGGCATTATGCGAAGACGACTCCATGTTTTTTTAATATTTCAAACACATTGGGATGTAACAATGAATGTCAACTGTAGGAATGGTTGTTTCGTTTTAAGGAATAAGCCTGTTGGGGAAAGATGATGAAAATGTACTACTGAAAGTTATACACTTCCATAGGCAAGTGGGATTATGTGTTGAAGCATGATCCTCACGCTTAATAAACTGACTGAAATTGTAGAAATTACACTTAGGAACTGAGCTAGGCCAAATTGCCATTTTTGTTTAGATAAGAGAGGTTTGGAGGTAGTAGTGAGGGAATAGAACCTCAAAACTACTTCCAAACAGTATTTTGGAATTGAAGACTTGGTGACTAGTGAAGAACATCAAAGTTGGGTATTTCAATGTGCCAAGTTTGGGTGAACTAGGTTCAGTTTGCCTCTTTCATAACAATGTAAACACAATGGTGTAGTTAATTAAATTCTGGGTGGATAGGAGCAGGACTGATTACTATGTCTTGCCCTTCGCCCTTTGTTTTTCTCAGAACCAAATAACAGAAATGTGTATGTGTGTACTGTATCTGCCTTTCCATCATATTTTTATGACACTGTATTCCACTGCCTGCTTTTTTACCTTTCCCCAGGATTTGTCCTATAGCTTAGCATTATGGTTGACAGCAATACTGGCGCTGACAGCACAGAAGTCACAAGAGAAGTGTGGAAGGGCAAGAATTCAAAGCATTTGTTCACACAATGTGGCAACCTCTTTTGCATAGTTGCGTAGGATCCTGTTTGTAATGCTATCATAAATATTCTGTAGTTTTTTTTCCCCTCTCTCCCAGCTGGAGCTATGACACTTTTTATTGGATTCAGTCTTGTCTCTTGTCTAGAAAGAATTTTATCTTGTTGACGCATGAGCTGTTTAAAAAGTATTCTATTGAATGTTGGTTAATAGTTGTGCAGTTTTTCATTTCAGAAGGAAAGGCAATGCAAATTTTGCCTTTGTTTTCTGTCACCTTCCAACCCCTGAGCACTTCTAGTCAGATACAGATTCATCAGTGTATGCAACATCCTTTGTAATTTAAAATAAAAAAAATGAAAAGAAAAGGTTCTGAATTGTTGGCCTCATGTTTTCGCCCTTCCTTTCTGTACTTGTATCTTGCTTACCTAGGTAACCATCTACTTCTCAAGAGAACCTATTCCAAAGAAATTCCAAATCACAGAGAGTAGTGAACTCATGGTAGTACTCAAAGAACTAACATTTTTTTTGACACTATAATAGGTTCAGTTTCAATATTTTAGGGACATTTAGCTATTATATAGAATTATTTGCTGATATAAGGATTTGCATTCTTCACAGTTTAGAGGATAGTTTATTCTTATTTCTCCTCTTTGAATCTTGGTGCAGGTGTTCTCCATGGGAAATAAAATATTTGGGGTCTCTCCTGATTTAAACATTTGCATGTGTGTGTGTTGTGTTTAATCATTGTAAGTAAGTCTCCAAGCTAAGCTGGGCATATATACACAGAACCTTAAATCCAGAGACCTAAGTGAAAACTACCATCAGAGTATGTGTTCTTTCAGCCAGCAAATATTTATTGAACACTCACTCTGCCAGGACCTGTGCTAGGTACTGGGCAATAGAGAGATTAAAGAGAACTCCAGGAACCCACAGCCAGCACGTGAACAGGATTGCAGAACAACACAAGAGCTGTTACAGATATGCAAAGGGCTCTAGGTACATATCCTTGCCGACGTGTTTTCAAGGAGACAGGTACCACATCCAGTGGCGTATATTAGAGAATCATAGACTTGTGTTCCTAGTATCCTGGACCCTTGGAGAAACCCTCTTTGTTTCATGTGAGTGACACGGGGGCCATCAGGAAGCAAAGGGGAGGGCCATGGCCTCCCATGGACTGGTTGTGCATCAGGACTCGATCTCTCAAGACCACTGCTCACAGGAGCCTCTGTCAAGGTCTTGAGACTGTTAAAGGGCTGGGTGAGCCAGATCAGTATAGTTCCTTCTGTGGATAGCATCCAGTTAGATGGGTCATTCAACTGGTGAGCTCTTCAGCCACAGTACAGTGGAGTATTTGAAAGAAAGGAGATGGCTAGGAAATGCTTTAATATCCCAGCTAAAAGGTTCAGATAGGGAAGAAGGTGTTAGAAAGCCCTAGGGGGGCCGGGCTTGGTGGCTCATGCCTGTAATTCAAGTACTTTGGAGGCCAAGGTGGGCAGATCACCTGAGATCGGGAGTTCAAGACCCACCTAACTAACATGGTGAAACCCCGTCTTTAAAAAAAAAAAAAAAAAAAAACCCTATGGGATGGAGTGGCATTCATTAAGACTCCTAGGTGCTTTTGTTAGAGGAAACCCAGCTGGTATTCTCAAGGGCCCAGTGAGGCTGGTAGTCATGTCCATTTTACAAAAGAGACTAGACTAATATGAGGAGACTAGTTCCAAACCTAGCTTATATGATTATAGAGCTCCAATTCAAACTCCAGTCAGCTTTCTGCACCAATTCGTATTGATCTATTTGGGATCAGGCCAAGTCACAGGCAATATTTGGAAGGACATTTCTGTAGGCGGGGGATAAAGGCCTTAGAATCTTAAAAACCAAAAAGAATTAAAACCAAAACCTAGCAGATAAAAAGCTAGTCTCAGAATCTGAGGGTAAAGGTAATAGGGGAAGCAAAACAGAGTTGAGAGGAAATCAGTGATTGGGTATGATGATCACCAGACTGCATACCTGTTCCTTGAAGATGGTCTCTAGCTTAAGGATTTAAGATTGGGTCTCCTTATTGGAAGGAGGTGTTGTGAACTGAACTCGAGCCAGGGAGTCTTGTCCAACGAGAGGATCCCAAACCTGGAAGAGGGCGTGCACAGAAAAAAAGGAGACAGAGAGAGGGGTCTGGAGGACTGATTAGGCTAAGCCCAAAACAGCAATTTTATTTGTGCAGTAGGTTCCATTATATACTTTTCTACTTAATGTTGTTTACTTCAGATCAAAGCATTTCTCAAATAACGAAACAGAAAACAATTCTGCGGAATTAGTAAAAGGAACAGATACTGATTTAAAAGGTCAAGGGGGAAGTAGGTGATGCTGATTATCAATATTATCAGAACAACCAGTAACTCAGATAACAATCTTCAATTATCTAGAAGTCACAAGCTCAGCAGTAAATCATGCATCTGCAAAAGACAAGGGCTGAAACAATGCCTGGTAAACAAAGTCATAGAACAGGTTAAGATTAGAAGCCAGAAAGGGGAACACAATACCCAGTTGAATGACTTCAGGTTCACCCAGCTGTTATCTCATCAACCAAGAAGGCTGAAAATAGGGTTCTGTTTAGTCATTCTTCTCCCAATTTTTCTTCCCCATAGCTCGACAGCCTTCAGCCAGGGAAAGTGTGTAAGGAATCAGGCTCACCTAATGGCAGAGGCCAAGTTGTTAGCCTCTTGCAGGGGCAATCCCCACAAGGAAGTATATTGGAGGGTAGAGAAAAAGGGAGCTGTGTTTTCTTTAGCTGCAGCATAGAGATGCAACTGGGGACTGTTGATTGCATGCAAATATCCAACAAGAAGCATGATGTGAAAGAGTAGGCATGTGCACAGGTCTGCCAACTGCTAGCTTTGGGGCTTCTCTGTTGTCCTAAATAGGGAGCTTCTATGTGAGTATCCAAAACATTGGAGTGACCTGAAGAAAGGAAACCTCAGTTTCTCTAAAAGGTTGTGACCTTATAAAGTAAGTGCTTAAAATATTACCAGGAATAAACTTAACAGAAAATGTATACAAGATCTAGGATAAAGAAAACTTTAAAAGTTCTGTGAAGGACACAGAAGGAAACTTGAATAAATTGGAAGATACACCAAGTTCTTAGGAGCAGTGACATAAAACTCAACAGTGCTAAGTTAAATTAAAAATTTAATGTTGCTAAAAAATGTAATGTCATCCTAAGAAAACATACCAAGAGGGTTAAAAAAATTTTTTACACAGAGAAAAAATAATAGCTGGAAGATGCTGGTTGGCAGTGAGGGTGAGGGGGCAGCAATGGAGGGTGGGGGCAAGAGGAAGAGGTATTCTAGCAGATATTAAAAGTCGTTATAAAACTATAATAATTAAAACTGTCATTTTGATGCATGAATAGACAGGCCAGTCAAGGAGAATAAAAGATCTAAAAATAGACTCAAAAACGTATGACAATTTTGTACGGCAAATGGGACGTCCAGAACCAGCGAGGAAGAAGGTAGGCTCTTCAGTAAATAGTATTGGAATAACTGAGTAACCTCCGGAAAAAGTAAAATTGGCTTAATATCTCACAACATAAGCCAACATATATTTCAAAATAGATAATGATCTAATCCCAGCACTTTGGGAGGCCGAGGCGGGTGGATCACGAGGTCAAGAGATCAAGACCATCCTGGTCAACATGGTGAAACCCCATCTCTACTAAAAATACAAAAAATTAGCTGGGCATGGTGGCGCGTGCCTGTAATCCCAGCTACTCAGGAGGCTGAGGCAGAAGAATTGCCTGAACCCAGGAGGCGGAGGTTGCAGTGAGCCGAGATCGCACCATTGCACTCCAGCCTGGGTAATGAGCAAACTCCTTCTCAAAAAAAAAACCTCACAAAATACCCATAAATCTCTGTAAGTGGGGAAGGCTTTTCTAACTTGGACCTCGAATCCAGGAATCATAAATGAAGATTGATAAATTAAGTGTAAAACAAGATTAACAAAATATTTAAGACTAAAACACCATAAGCCAAATCAAAATTCTATAGACTTTTAAAGTCTATAGAAGTCTTAAAAAAAATCAGAAAAGCTTTGGAACTCATCTCTAAGGACCAATCCTCCTAATATAAGGAGTTCCTGGAAATGGATATTAAAAAAACCAGCAACCCCATAGAACAATGAGTGGACAATAGAGTAAGTACAAATAGCTCTGAAACATAGGTAGGGTTCATCAACCTCTTTCATGATCAGAGAAGTGCAAAATAAAAGAAGGCATTTTCACCTAATCAGATTGGCAAAAGTTCCAATGTTTGTTAACCTATCATGTTGACAAGGCTATGGAAAACGGACAGTTATGCCATGTTGCTGGGGGGAGTATGGATTGACAATCCCTATGGAAAGCAATTTGGTAGTACATAAGAATTTTTTTTTCTAGACATGATTTGTCAGCCTTTATTAATCAAGAGTAAAGCCAAGCCCTAGAGTTTTCTTAACAAAAACAAAAAGAACATCAACCTTATTTATGGCAAACAGACTTAATTCTTAATGACTGTTCATTATATTTCTAACACCACAGAGCAAGAATTGATCTCTTTTCAAGCACTTATTATTCTGAGATTAAAATATAACTTTAAAACCAGTTAAAATAAAATTCACCCCAATGATTTAAAAAATAATTCCAATTGAAAGACATTTCAAACACTATATGTAGAACTCAGGACCAGAAGAAGACCTTAAAACATTTTCTACTGTTGAGGTAGCACAATAACGCTGAATCAGATTTCTTTTATTACAGTGAGCTCAAAAAAAAACCACACAGAATCGACCCTTTGCTCAAGGTGGGCTAAATGGTTTTATGAAAGCCTCCATGAGGTTAGTGACTGTTCTTGTCCTTTTTTTTTTTAAGTATAAAGACAGCCCTGCAGTGTGTAAAAGGAAACCTATGGGAAAGCTGCTTCCCATAAAATAGAATAATTGATGAATGTCAGCAGTCAAGACTGGAGGAACAAGAGGTAATCATAGTGAAAAACCAAAACAACTCATATTTTGGCAAGATTGGTTTACAAGTGCATGACAAGAACAAAAATTCCAACATCAGCCAACTGAAAACAAAATATAGAAGATGACATTCATGAGTCTTCTCACTTTTTCTCTGTGTAAAATGCTCTTTTTTCTAAATGAGAGAAGCTTGTATACTGTGACATAGGTGCTAATAGCACCTCACTGAATGCAATATCACTGTGCACAGAGAAAAGGGGCAGTTAGAGGATAAACATAACCTCTCCTAGCTGGATAACCATTTCTTGTCACTTTGCTGCTGAATTCACTCATTAAACTCTTCAAAGGGAAAGCTCTACCCTGATTTCTGAGAGTC